AAAATTTGGAAATTTATTGGTTAACTATTTAATTAATGAGCTAGTACACACTTTAATATCGCTCAAAGTTCAAAATACATTTCTATGTGTTGCCATTTGGTTTTGTTTATATAGATCAAAGAAAGTATAAAAATATTATGACAAACTCTAAAACCATACTTGCAGTCTTATTGAGCAGATAAAATTTTTTCACATATATTTTCTTTCCCTTTAAAAGGGACATGAAGCAGAGAATGGACAAAGCATTACATAAATTAGTGTCTTGCTAGAGGATGACCTTACAGTCCAAGATGAAAAATTACCTAAGATCCTATCAAGAACAGATATGAACTGTAAACTATCCATGGCCGATGAGAAAATTTTCATCTGGAGCAACTGTTTCTACTAAATTGTCTACAATGGGACATCACTGAAGATTTCTCATAAGTATATGGCGCTCTCTTCTGAATCATGATCAGACTTAAGAATACTTTTCTTTTCTGAAATCCAGTTCCAGGTTAAAAATGCTGTCATGGTAGTGCCCCAGAGAAAACCTAAGTTCTGGAATGGGACTATCAATATGCTTTAAGTGTTAACACACCTTTGGTCTATGCCAGCTACCATTTCCCCAGATGGCAGCTGAGCCCAGTTCAAGGTGAGAATCTAAATCCCAATAGGTTCTTTGGATATGACTAACATGGGTTACAGAGAAAGGGGTTAGGTGTATGGATGTGATCCATGTGTCATCTGCCGTCAGGTCCAGAAATCAGACCCTGAACCATTTTCCTGACAGCACAGTTTTAGTCTTTGTGTACAAGAAATAATACAGTAATATGGAAATCATGAACTCTGCCCTTGGGAGGATGTGAGAAATCCTACTAATATCTCTGGAAAAGATGAGGGACCACAAAAACTTGCCAGTCAAAAGAATAAGGGTACCTACAAACAGTTGTTGCTGAGCAAGGACAAAGAGCAATGCCAGCTGTTAGCAGAGTGTGCTGCTGGAGACACAGGTGGTTACAGTGAGGACAGCAGGATGGCAGGGTTGAATGGTGGTAGGAAGAGACAAATGTTGGAGCAACAACTTTGTGGCAGTGTCCCTACAGCCTTTCTGATCTGATCTCCTTGCTGGAAAGGTCACTGGCCCAGAATGACTCACATCCACAGTGTTCCTACCTTGAAGTGGCTGTACTGCATCTTACAAAAAGCCCACCTAGACCCAAACACAAATACAAAAGGCAACTGCCAAGGCAAGAGCATAATAACAAGGTAAGCAGCTAGTAAAACTGCATTACCTCCAACTGCTCATAATTCAGGGGTTTTCTAAGCTCAGCAGGTTTCTCTTGCTTTAATTTGACTATTTCTCCTCTTAAATTTTGCCATATACAGCATCCTATGTCAAGGAACTCCACCACTTAACTGCACCTCAAGTGAATGAGCTTCCTGCCTGGTTTTATGCCTTCCTTCTAGCACCTGCTAAACAATCAAGCCTTATGGCCTCCTCAGCATCACTCTAGGCTGGATCAACTTTTCCATGACTGCTCCCCCCCATCACTGCTTTACCAGACCTGGAGTCCCCATTTCTTCAGCCTTCAGAAAGAAGCTTATCCATACCCCTGCCTTTGCCTAAACTTTTTTCAGTGCTGCTGTTATATTTGAGTGATTGCAGCACCATGCACAACTATTCCAGTTTTTTGTGAATTTATAGAGTAGCCCACCAAACTCTCATTTTAAAATCCTGTATTCCATTCTTAATTTCTAACAATTGCCTTATGTTTTTGTGCACTCCTGGTAATGTGAACTGATTGTGTTCACACACTGAAGCCCTTGGAGCAAAGCCTGGCTTAGTACTTGCCCCATGAATTTGGCACAAACCAATGCACTGACCTCACATGATCTGAGGAGTTTGTCTATCACACTCTTCCCACTGGAAGCTCACAGCTGTGGCTGCCCTGCCACATCCCTGTCAGCAGCTCGGAATATTCTCACAGTCCTTTTCTTTCCTCTTATGTCCTTCCTCACCTCAGCCCAGGGTAGCCTGAGCTATCCTGCCACAAGGGCTAGATCTCCTCCTGCCCCCAAGTGGCCTAACTTTAGGACTGAAATTTTGGTATTCTTTTAGAGGGCATATCTTTTCTGCTTGCCCTAGATGTGAAGAGTGCATGCTTTGCCATCTGTCATATTTATTATTTTCTTCACAGTGACAACAAATGTGTAGATTGTAGGCAGAAGGATGTAGTGGGAGGAAAAAAGTGTGCAACATCCAATGGAGTGAGTATAAGTTGAAAAACCAGGTTTTGTGGATAGATGTTGGATGCTTGACTGATTCACTGGATCAGTCCTCAGACTACCTAAAAAATAAATCACAGATTTTTCAAGATTATGCCTAATTTCTCAGCTCCAGAATGGATCCTGGAGATGACCCAATCCATGTCATGGGACAGCCATGGGGAAGAGGGCTGAGGAAATAAGCAATTAAAAGGTTGCTGCAAAGAGGAACAGAATAGTCTGTTCTCCAGATCCCCTGACAAGAGGAAGAAAAACAGTATGTTTAAATTGCAGGAAGGGACAATTAGGTTAGACAGTGGAAAGAACTTTCTGACGGTGAGAAGAGTTAAGCCCTGGAATAGCTCGCCTGGCAACTGGTGCTGTTTTTCTTGTTGACAGGTTGTAAGAACAGGTTAGACAAACATGCCAGGAATGGTTTAGGTCTACTTGATCTTTTCTTGGGTCAAATGGAGAGATAAGATCATTTCTTCTGTTCTTCCCAGACTCACCTGCTACAATATTATAATTTTTCATCCCAGATTTCTACAGATAAAAATGGATTCTTTTTCCATGTTTTTTTTTTTTCACTACTGCAAAGAGTAGCTTGTTCTATATGTCTAAAAAATCTAACAGACACAAAACCACATTCTGTGCTTATAAATGTCAGAAACCCCACAGTTAAATAAGGGATCTCTGTCCAGTTCTGCCAGTTTTGCATTGTGTGCAGAAACTAAGTATGACACATTTCTTTTAATAATACAATATTTACTCATTAAATATATTTACCACCTTCTTTGAAAATCTTTGCCTTTTATCTGCTGATTATTTCACAAGCTGAAATATAAAATTAGTGTTATGGCAAAAATCTCTTTTCAGAAGTTGTAAATAGAAACCAGTTCAGAATACCCCTGGTCAGAGTTAATATTTGTTTGACTTTGATTACAAAATTACAGATATCTGCTTAAAGTATTACAGCCAAATACTGGCCCAGGAGGGATTATATTCCCAGTTTTGAGATTAATGCATTGTACAGCTCCTGGTCATGAAATTTAAAAGCATTCTAAATAGTGGCCACTGGCCGTTTTATGTGACAGCCTAAATAATTAAAAAGGTCTGTTTCAATCCCATACCCATTGAGTAGGTTTTTGTAATGTAGTGCTGCCTAGAAATGGTCTCTGCACCAAAATATAGTACTAAAATGAGAATTTATCCTGTATCAGCTAGGAATCTGCAATCTGTTTTATGACTCTACAAGGATGTATAAAAGAAATAAGCTATAGCTATCCAGTAGAACTTTTCCCCATTCAGAGATTATTGCTGAAATTTATTCCTTCGGCTTCTGTCCAAACAGTCCACACAATATTTTCCTCAGTTCTTTGCTGACTGCTTATAACCTGTGTGGAAATCCTTAGATTGCTGGTTGGAAATCACTAACATTACATTGCCTGAATTCACAGGCTTCATTCCCAGTTTTAAGAGAAGCCTCATATTAAGATTGGTGAAGCATCTCCCCATCTCTATAGACACCTACTGGGGTGTGAGTAGTCATTCCCAGAACTGTGTCTCCAATGTCACCTTCTCCATGAATATCCAGGTCTTTGCAGTGGATTTGTTTAAGCCATGAGCATGCTCTACATGCCACAAACTGGTTAGAGATTGTGCTCAGACTAAAGTCAAAGGCTTCACAGTTTATGTTCAAGCTTTTCTAGGAAACTCTATCTCACCAGTCAAATGTAATCCTCTAGGCCTGTCCAAAGCATCTCTAATTTAAGCTACTAAAATGTGAGGGGACAACTTGTTTTGAACCTGAGAGGTGATTATGGGATATACAATTGCCTGAACAGGATGCTCATCTGACACAGAGTGATAAAATTTTCCTTCTTGGACCCAGGAAGTGCAGATTTAATCTTAAATTCTAAACTGTCAGGTGGCTGCTTTTTCTACTGGGAAATCATATGTTAAACATCTGTTTGAGCTTAAAAAACAGAATCAGGAGAAACCTGATGGGGCAGAGAGATTGCATGGGCCAGTTACATCTTTAAAAGGTTATTTCTATGTGTCTCTGCCTAAGTCAGCTGCTTGTGCACCAAAAATTGATCTTCTTTCTATTCATGGAAGCTCTCTTCTATCAGGTGCTTCAGGCATGTGTCCTTTTGGAGTGCTGCAAACCACCTCAGGAAATAGTGCTTTCCTTGCTCAAAGAAATGTGAAAATAAAAACTGCCAGTGTTATAATCATCAATAAACAAAAACATTTTTTAGGAGCTATGAGATACTATTATGAGGGTCTGAATTATTCTTTCTTGTTGACAAAGGCTGATTTTCTAGGAAAATTTGCTGAGACTACAGAAAACTAAGTAATTCTCCGCTGACATCCTCTGTCAGTCTTAACGTAAATGCAAAGGGGTGGTTAATGGCTCTGACATATAAAGCACTCCAGTTTTTTTTTCAAAGAATAACTAGATATTGATACTGTATATTAAATACATTTATTTCTAAGAATATTGCAAAATCTTTCATGTGGAAATGGCATTAAAAATATCTACACTCAAGATGTAATACTATGGCAGTAGGAGAGGTGGGGGTGTATTTTCTTTTGAAGCAGTAATAACATTTATGAACTTTGTATTTTCCAATTTTTTTCCCACACAAAGTTTTTTCCAAAGTCAGGAAAGTGGTGTTTTCTAGTTCAGAGAGGATGTGTTGTGGCATTACCAATGTCTTGACTTTTTTGTTTATTTCCTTCCTCTTTAGGTTCTTTAGAGCTAGATACACAGAAGATAACAGTCCTATGGTTTATCTATAGTCCAGAGACTCAGAAACAATGAGGCAAGGTGAGTGAAACTTCCTGCTGATGACAATGTACCATAAAGAGAAAGAAACAAAAAAAGAAGGGAAGGTGACACTAAAAAATTACAGTCAGATTTGAATCATCTGTGTGATTGCCTTTCATATTTAAAAAGTTTTTAAAGATTTGTGTGACTAAAAAAGCAAAGGATATCCTGAAGAATACTGAGGAATTTCCACTTATTGTAGTTCACATGGATACAGATCCACACAAGAGGAGCAAGATGTGCAGGCCAGAAGGACAGTGTTGGATATCCAGGAAAAGAAAATAACCCAAATTGGATATCACCATCTTGCACAACTCAGTGGTCAGTAGAGCCAAAGAAAAGGTAACAAAGAAGACATCAGGTGTCCGTGGACTCCAGTGCAAAGGAGCAGTGGGGCTCCTAAAATAGCAAGGTGCATTTACATACAACTCCCGCCTCCAAAACTCACCACACATTTTAGGAGGCCTTTCAGAAGGATTAGGAAGACACTGAAGAGGAACATCAATGTAAACACATAAAAGTAGCATTGCTCTTATACAAAGCAATGGAATAGTAGTACAAGAGATAAAGAGTAAAACTAAAAGTAGTGCGTGTCTGTAGTTAACAACAAAAAAATGCAATAGCTAGCTGCACAACATATTATATATCATCAGAAACCCTAAAAATGTATGGAGCTATGTTAAGGGAGACACTTTGCCAGATCAGTATGGAAGATAAAATCTGACGGTGAAACATTTGGCTGAACTGTAGGATAGCATAAATAACCAGAGCAAAGAACAAACTGTGCTGGATGCTTGCAGGAGATCATTGGGACTGGTAAGGAAAAGCAGTCACTACTTTTTGTACAGCTTCTGAGGAACTCCAGAAGTTAGTGCAGTGGGGTTAGCAACTCCACAGAAAGATTTTCCCTGTGAAATATACTTTTGCTGTATGCTCACTGACACCAAGGAGGAAGAATGTTGGGTGGCAAACTGAGTTCACACATTAAAACAGCAATGGCTTATATAGAGGAAAAAAGCACTATTCCAGTAGGAAAATCAGTCAGAGGAGCCACATTGGATGAGGTTTGTTCCAATCTGAGTGGCAAAATCTGTCTCACAAATGCTCATTTCAACTTTAAATATAATTATTTTTGTCACAGCCACTCTTGATTACAATCAATGGACAGTCCTGTGAAAAGATATTATGTTGTCCAATATCTTCAAGCCATAAGCCAATACACCATGTTAACATCCTGGTTCTACATACTAGCTAAAAAGGGTAAAGCATTATTTGTCTGATAACTTAAGCTGCAATCACCCAAACAGGCAGCTGGACATGGCCACCTTTAAATTCAAGTTGTCACTCACAGTTTTTGTATTACAGTAGACATTATTAGAATATTGCCTGTATGAACCACTGGGGAAGTATCTGCACATGGCAGCTGGAGTCAGGAACAGAATGACTGGCAAAGCAGGCAGTGAAACAGTCCTATTAATGGACAAAGAGGATTAATAAAAGGCTGGATTTACCCCTTGTTTATTATAACAATCTATGTTCATTCCCCTTTTCATGTGCATCGGCTGTTTTACCACACACTTTTCCACTGAGCAGCGGAGTAAATAAAAACTGGTCATGCTGGCTGACATTGATAAAATCAAGTTCATAGGCAGATATTTCAAACCCTTTATTAGCAAGGCCATAAACTACATATGCTGTTTGATTAGGATATGATGAAAAGAATTTATTAGCAGATGTGTATTCAGCTACACTGTTTTACTGGCAGCTTTATGAGATTCTCTCCTAGGCTGACAGGTGCGGCTTGCCAGCTGCCTTGTACAGCAAACAGGGGATGGAGACCATGCCATGTGCAATGATTTAATCAGTTACCATCAACTGCTGGAAAATAAACAAGCTTTTGTGCATTTCTTTCAGTCCCATGTATATTAATTGAAACCAAATATTACAAATGACACTGAAAGAGAGTATCACTGATCAGAGGAAACTTAAATTTAATAGGACACAGCCATGTAATACATAAATATAATAAAGCACAGTCATGTAATACATAAATATTTGGTTAAAAGATAGCAGAATTTTGTTAAACTTGGCAATGGGAAGTCTTTTGAAGTCTCATTTGTCAGTTTCCATTCGTGGGACAGTCAAATCCAGTCATTTGGGTCACAGCTGGCAAAAGAAAGATGATCCTCTTGGTTTATTGTTCTGATACAAAATTGTCATTACAAATTGAAAACACAGGGCAAATAAAAGAGGGCAAATGGGGAACTTGTGTGGTTACATATTTTTAACTGTTGCGTCTGGCTGTACTTTGCTTAATAGAGGTTGCAGAATTCAAGATGTCTATATCCTGGGTCTCATTACTATTGTTTAAAATTTCTATACCACTAGTTTACAATTAAAATGTTCTTTCTCAATTCAGTTCTCATATCCAATGTTTTCAGTGCTCTAAATATGTGTAACCTGAACTAATATTATTATTAAATATCTGACAGCTGCCTTGAAACATTTTTATTTTAAATATTTGCATGTCAAAATACAGATATAGAAGACCTTTTTCCACAGCCAAATGAGAATGTTCATACAATGTAAAGAAAAAGTAATATTGCTAAACTGAAGAAAGGACATTTTACAGAAGATGCTTTAACTTTCTTTTCTGCACATTTGTGACAAAGAATTCTCATGATTACACTGTAAGCAAGGACAGGTCAAGAAGAACTGTAAAACAGACAAAAAATTTTAAAACTGATTGTGTAAATAATTATAGGAGTGGTTTGTTAAAAATTATGAAAATTGAAGTCATGGAAGTATTTTGAAAAAAGTGAGCTTGTCTTTGAAGTATCAGTACATCCAAATTCTTTCTCTCAGCCTAAGCCTATATTCAGATTTTTGTAGATTTTCTGTCTTGGTGTAGAGTCAAACTCATGTACGGAATTAGAGGTGCCACAGAGGGAACAGCAGCAGTAACAGAAGAATTTATTCTCTGTCTTTTTGATCATAATAATTTCTCTGAAGGAGATTATTTTTGTTCTTTTCTATTTTAATGAGAGAGATGAGTTTCTAGTAGTGACAGCTAGGAGATCCAGAACTGTGATAATAACTGCAGGCCCCATTAAGCAGAAATATGATGTTTTATAATGGATTATGGGGTACTGATTCACTTTCATTCACTCTTTTTCTCTTCATGTACCTTGGTGTATTTTGTTGCTAAAGCAAAGACCACAGCTCAGTCTTTTCAAGATTTACCAGAAGAAGTGTACCATCAAGAGCATGTGCTCTGCGACTAATTAGAAAATAAGAGTTAATACACACCTACCCTTGCAATCAGCTTCTGGTAATGCCTCAGAGAATTTTCCTTGACTAGACTTTCCCATGCAAACAGCCTCATCATATTGCTGCTCTGTATTTTCAGTGTAAAGTCCGCCTTACGACACACATGTGTGGAAACACTCCTTGCACCCTTCCCATGGAGAGGCTTTCTATCTTCTCCCAAGCAACACAACAGCCTCTCTGCCAGCTTGGGGTCCAGGCCATGTAAGAATGGGTTCCTCTCAGAACCTCTGAGAGAATCTGTACCAGTAAAAGAAATGATAGTGCGACCCCAAAGCTAACTTAGCATGATATAGTAATCTGTCTTTACCTCCAAAATAAGGTGGCCACACTCAGACTCAGCATGGGAAATATCTTTATCCCATACATTATCCTCAAACCACACCTGGGAATCATCAGGGAGAGTGCTAGTTATCTTGAGCCAGAATCAGGCAAGGCACCATTTAACATTACAGATAATGGAGTTTTAGTGTCTGTGCCTGTGCCCTGTTTAATTTGCTGGTAAAAATGAAACCTTAGGATACAGCTAAAAGTCTGCAGTCTGGATCCACAACCACAACAGACTTCAGGATGTTATAAACCCATCATAGGATACATTTATATTGCATGTCAAGCTCAGGTCAGCATTCTGGATCTGAACTCTTACTTACAGACATTGCAAAAATTTACAGCCCTAAAACAAGGTTGCAATTCCCTCGATGGCCGGGGATAAGTCCTTCGGGCTCCTAAGGTCCAAGGTGAGCTAGCACATGATGTTCAGGTCTATTTTGCAGGCTAAAATGATCAAGGACAATTTAAGGAAGTATCTCTAACTCTTTCCCAACATCTGGACGCAAGCCAGAGTTTGCAGAAATGCCCTCTCAAGGCACCAGGGAGCAAGAGGGAGTCCTGCAGGGCTGTGCCTCAACTGGCAGGAGGACTCTTAACCATTATCTGCTTACCAGATCTCACACAGTATCCGCTAGGACATAGATTTAAGCCTGTGTTGCAAGTATTGCAGAGTGAGAATATAATCTGTAAAGTCTTCTGACTGTTCCATTTATTTGCAACATATCAGGTGTGTCATCCACTAGACTTACTTCCCAAGCAACCTTGATTGTCCTCTCTGTCCAAAAGAGAACTCTGCCATCCATGCCCTGTGCCCAGTTAGCTCAGGCACATCATGACTACCATGCCAGAGGTATCCTGTTCTGGTTTCATTAGCAAAGTGCCTGTCCCCTACCCCATATCTAAATTTCTCCTACAGGCAGACAAAGGCTGTCTCTACAGAAGCAGATGGCTGTTTTACATGCCAAAGTACGACCTAAACCTTTCCTCCAGTGGCTTTGGGACTTTTGACAGAATGCATATTCCTTAGTGTCTACATGTACAGATATTAAGAAGTCACAAAACCTATATAACTGACTGTCAAAACACTCTGTTCAAATGTCTGGAGTGCAAAATATCATCTAGTTGTAATAATTGATTGAGATAAGCACATTCACTGCATCTACACAGTTGTGGTCAATATTTCTGAGATATTTCTCGTTCTCAACACCTGCCTAAAAGGGCAACTTATTTTTCCTTTGTGCATCTCTGCCTACTGCTCACCTTGCTGCTTCTACAGGCTGGTGTACCTCCAGATAAATGCAGCAATAATTAGGTTCTTCTGAGTCCTTTTGGGCCTTAATGTTTTTATAAATAGAATTAGTTTTATTTTTTCTCTGCAAACACATAGAAGCACCAGACAACATTTAATCTTCAGCGCAAAGCCTCACCAAAATATATTCCTAAGGTTATTTATATGGTATTTTTATATGGAGAGAAGTTATCTTTTGGAACCCTGCCAAAGATATTGCACAAGTAGGTGAGGGCCTAGAAACAAATGCAAATCTCAGAGATGGCAACATACTTTCATCTCCATGGTCTTTGTTTAAATTCCTTGTTATACATTATATACACCTCTGAATGTACTTTTCTTGGAGAGATGAATTTAACCACCTTGAATCTTGGCTTGCAGTCTAACTTCAGGATTGCTGCAGCACACCCTAGCTACAAATACAAGTTTATTGAAAAGAAGTAATGGGATTCAGTGCTGGAACTAGCAGTAAATTTTCAACCCCAGAATTAAAACTGCCTGGTTGTGCAAAGCTGACAGATTTAACAGCAAAATCATAAAATATTTTTCAGGCTTGAAATCTGCAAAAATAAATGTGGGGCAGTCAAAAAAGAACATGACTTGAGAAAATGTTTTCTGAAAGTCTTAGCAAAAGTGTTGCCACTCTTGCAGCTAACACTTTCATTTCTAAGCACATTATTTTTGTTACAGACCAATGCTTCTGACTTTTCTCTGTCAATTTCCTCTAGATATGTTCAGTCATTACACTTTTGGTTTTCGTGTAGGTTAACAGCATGTAGACATGTATACATTCCCAGACCCCCCTATAAGATGGCATCAAGCACACTGAATGATGTGTGATGACAAAACACACTGCTCACCCTACACTAAGTCTTTCAAACACTTCTACATGTCATTAAATTCATACTGGTCACAGAATAATTTTCTGACCATGAAAACTTGGTGGGAACTCAGATGAGTGGTAACAGATGGAGAGTGATGAGGTTTGGTGTAACTACACATGTAAGACAAGTCCTTGGTGCTCGTCACTTCCTGAAGGGCTGGGGTTTGAGTTTTGACCCAAACCAAAGCGCACTGGCAAATGCTGTTCACCTTCTTAGCAGAATAGCAAAGTGTGTGTCATGTCCAAAACATTTCTCCTGGAAAGAAAGAGTTTGGGGCTGCAGCGAAGGGCAACCTGGGAATTGCTGATAAATCAGAGGTGTTTTTCTCCTCCCAGCAAAGATGCTAGAGTTAATTTGTTGCGGTTTTGTCTGCACAAGACCTATTATATGGGCTGTAATTTCACGGGATGGAGACTGTGAACTCCCAGGTCACTTGTAAACCGATCACTCCCCAGCCTCTCCTCCTTGTGCTTTTAAGTGTTTTGAGCCTGGTAAATTGAAACCTGAAGAAACACAGAGCTCTGATCTTTGGGACCTCTAGAGCAAACCTGGACTTTTGCTGATTTGCTCTAGGAAGTAACTGCTTACTTACCCCATAATTAACACCACAAAGCTGATCCTTGGAAGATAAAGTATGGGAGGTCAGAGACAGGATCAGGGAAAAGGGTTTCATTAGAACTGCAGCATTTGCAGCCTGATTTTCTTCTCATTTGCATCAGATTGATCCTAGAACTGTTTCACTTAAGTCAGAGGTGCTAACAACTATAAAATCTGTCTGGATTAGAAGCAGGTCATTACTATCACATCTAATGGATTTTAATCCATAAACTTAGTAAAAACAGCAAAAGAAATTGCTTATTAGCTACATGACTAACCACACTTTCACTCTTATCTCACAACAGAGGCTGCATTAACACTTCCTTACAAGTTCCAATTTGCATCAAGGTTTCAGGAACATAAATAAGTCTTCCAGTTGATTGACTTCCTTTAGCCAAGCAACTAGGTACAGTAGCATTCATAACATTGAATAACACCATTAAACAACCTTTATATAAAATAACTTGTTTACCAGTTTTTATTTGCATTTTGCTACTGGGAATTTAAAGTGCTATCTTATATTAAAATGAGAAAGAGGGGGGAAATAAAGACAGAAAAAAAGAGGGAAAAAAAAAAGAAAAACAGGAATTAGGAAAGTCCAAGCTCTCAACTGGTAGAAATCAGAATGGCCTCATATGTCCCTCATTTCCTTTTTGACAGGTTGATTTCAGATTGACATCCAGTTTATATTAGTGAGGAGTCAATGAAAATATGTGATATAATAAGTGAAAGAATCAGTTGCCACTGCTAAACTTTCATGAACAAGAACTAAATAGGTATGATATATAAATATATATATCTATATATAGATCTCATATATTTAGACATTCCT